CGCACGAGAGAGACACGGCCCCCCTCCCCACTCAGATAACCCGAGGAGACACAGTCTCCCTCTCCCCACGGGCAGACACACCCGCCCGGGAACCCCATGGGCGAGACACAGTCCCCCCTCCCAGAGAAGTCCCGCATGGAGATGCCCCCTAAGAGACCTTCTCATGGCCAACAAAAGCCCTCCAACACCAGGAGACAGCCCACACCCAGGGAAGAAATGGCTCCAGAGGCCGGGTCCTCAGGAGAGAGAGGTATCCCAGAGCCTCCAGGAGAAAAGACAACTCAGAGCTGCCCAGTCTCTTCCCAGAGTGCTGCAGGTCAGAGATACCCCCAGAGGAGAGATACAGGGAGGGCCAGAAACATCCCTTCCCAGACATGCTGCAGAGATAGCCCCCTTCCCTGGGAAGAGAGATGGCCCAAGACTGACATGCCTTAAGTACTCCCAGGAACCCTGGGAGGAAAACAGGCTCCCCAGAGAGCCTGGGTAGGGGGGAGACATGCTCCCATGGTCCCCAGAGGGAATACATGTCCCTCCAGAGACTCCCAAAGGGAGAGATAGGGCCTAGGGAGCCCCCAGAGGTGAGAGATGCCCCAGAGACCCTCCCCCAGGGATGTGAGACACGCTTCAGGGACCCCAGGAGAGGTCCCATATACCCTCCCCCTACCAAGAGACATGCTCTGAAGTAGGGGGTTGGGGACCAACTAGGTCCCCTCTAGGAAGACACTGACTGGGTCAGGCCGGGTTTGAGGGGGTCTCCTCTGGCCAAATGTCGCCTATTTGTACATAAAACTGTACGCGACACAAGGCATTGGGGAAGGGTTTCACAGACCTAGGACCAATGGGGGTGATCCCCAGTGCTGTCACCCATCCCCTGCCCACCTTTGGTTTCACCTCTCGAGTGCCCAGGTGGTGAAAGACTCAGCACCCTGACCCCAACCAGGGGGCCAGGACTCTGCCTTGGCCTGTGGGAAGGGCTCCCCCTCTGTGCTTCTCAGCCCTCCCAGCCATCTGGGCTACCCCCTTCCTTCTGGCTTTTCCATTGTGCAAAATGCTCCTCTGCCCTTCCACTCAGTGCTCAGGGGTCTCCAAGACCAGGGCAAGGTGCCCAGGCCACCAGGGGCTTCCAGGGGAGTCCATTGACTCCAGGAATGCCTCCTGTCTGGACCACCCTCTCCACCAAGCAAATGGGCCTCATACAATCTTCTTGCCAGAATCCTGACCTCCAGGACCCAGGACAGCCCTTGAGGCTACTGCCCCACCAGCTGGGCACCTCATGTTACCAACTCCACCACTATTGCACCTGCCCTGTTTGTGCAGGGGAAGGGGGCTGTCTCTTTAATAAGCCCCCAGCCCACTTCTGGGCCTCCCCCAGGGAAAGGAGCCTTTGGCCAACCCCCAGACCTGGTTGCTGCCACCCCAGCCCACTCTACCCTCTTCCCTCAATAGAAGGGCTGTGTATGCTGAGGCCACCAGCCTAACAATGCTCTCCTTCCCAGCACTGTTACCCCAAGCCAAGTTAGGGGCAAGGAGCAGAGAATAGGGTGATTCTTCAGGCCCCTGGCTTTTCTAAGGTGGAGATGGGGTCTCTGGGGTTACAGGAGTCAAGACCCCAGCAGCACAGCTCCCAAAGGCACCAGACGACCCAGCAGCCTGTAACCACCCCCTCCCACCCTTGGGCTGCCCCCCAAGCTTAGACTAAGTCAAGCAAAGGCCATACCCTGAGTCTCCAGCCTCCCAGCCTGGGCCCCTGGGGAGCTGGAGAGGTATGGGCCAAGGCAGTGGGGGTTTCTGGAAGGGAGAGGGACTGAGGCTTTGAGATGGCCACAGTGGGAGATGGGGGCTCTGCAGGATGCCCCTCACACCCTGGCCCCCTGAGGTGCAGAAAGGAATCCCACCTCATCATGGCTGACTGGGCTTCTCTGCCCCCCAATCTCCCCACCCCCTCCCCCATGGGACCCCTGACCCTGGCAAAGGGAAGCCCAACTGGAAGAAGGGGGCCTGGAGCCCAGGGTGCCCTGAGGCAGCCCTTCCCACCCCCTGAGATCAAGGCAATGGTGGTTTTACAGGCTGACGGGTCAGTCATGGCAGGGGCTGGGGGTTGGGGGGCAGGGAGGGGGCAGGGTGCAGGTTCCCCCTGCTGGGGGCAGCGACCAGCCACCCCTTGAGCAAACCTTCCTGCTCCCAACTCACCCAACCAGGCCAGAGGCACAGTCATCCCACCCCTGTCCAGCTGCCCCCCACAGCCTCAGGGCCCCTCTGTGATGCTCATCTGGATGTGGGGGGGCCAGCCTGAGCAGGGATCCCCCCCCCAGGGCACAGCGCAACAGTTCCAAAAAAATAGAGATTTGTATTTTTAAAAAAAATTAAATAAAAGCCCAGCTCTGCTGATAGGCGAATGTTACCCCCATTCCCACCCCCACCCACCCACTGTTTCCCTGGCCTGCACCCCCATCCCACTACGGCCCCAGGGGTATTTACAACATGGAACAGTAGAGGCCTGGGGTGGGGGGCACTGCGGCAGGGAGGAGGGGGCACAGGGCAGCCCCCCCTCCGAGGGGTCCCCCAAGACAACACAACATCAACAAGAAAAGTTGCAAATCAGGCAGAAATGGGGACATCATTCCAAGGTCCTTATATACAGACACTGCATGACCAGTAGGGAAGGGGGGTGCCCAGATGGGATCAGGCATGGGCATGTGGCAGGCAGGTGGGCCAGCCCAGGAGCAGTATAGGAAGACAAGGCCTCCGCCCCACTCCCACCCCCATCCCCACCCCACCTTTGGTAACAAAAGCCCTTCAGGGAGCCCCTGGGGGTCAAGAGTTTCCTCTGGGAGTTCCCAGGGAGAGGGGCTCCCCAGTTCAGCCCTGAAGCAGGGCCGGAATGGGGACATCCTGTCTCCACCCTAGTCGGCCATGCGAGAAACAATGAGTTAAAAGTGTGTTGCCCACCCTTGACTCCACCATCTGCCCGAAGTGAGGGGGTGCTCCCTGGAAGTTGAGAGAAGGGAGCCTAGACATTGTAGAGGAGCCCTCTTGGGCACCAGCTGGGGGGAGCCCCATAAAGGGGAAGAAGGGCTCCCAGGGGCTGGGGGATGAAGTGAGGAGAAAGGACCTGGACCCTGCATGGGGGAAGGGCCTGCGTGTCATGAGGCCAGTACTCACCCCCACGTAGGGCCCTGGCCAGGAAGTCCACGCTGGAGGGGTCAGGAGCAGGGCCCTGGAATGGGCCCATCTGGGAGCTGGCCGGTGGCTGGGGGAGGGGCATGGCCACAGGCCAGAAGGGGGCTCACAGGTAGATCTCGCGCTTGGCTGTCTGGGCAGATGCCGGTGTGGCTGCAGGTGGGAAGTCCGAGGTCTGGGTCAGGGGGATTTCCTCCAAGGTGGCCGAGTCCTTGCAGGAATCATGGCTACTGTGGGAGAAGGCACTGTAGGAGGGCAGGAGGCGCACGGGGGCCGTTTTGGTGTTCCGGTCTTCCGGGGGGCTGGGGCTGCCGGCGCCCACAGGCTCCTGCCCTCCTCGGTCCTGGTAAGGCACGAAGGTGGAGAGTTTGAGGGCGCTGCTCTTGGTCCGGCGGCTGGGAGACGACTGGCCAGGCATCCAGCACGTGTCGGAGTGGCCAAACTCGCTGCACTCCTGGGTACATGTGCCTGTCATGGCAACATCAGGCAAAGGGCGCAGGTCTGCAGGAGACAGTGGGGAGGACAGTCTTCAGGCAAAGAAACCTCACAAAGCTCCACTCCGTGTCTTCCCACAGGTGCCCACACTCTGCCTCAGAACAGGGTGCGCGCCCTCTTTGCCCACTGAGTTCACAGGTACACACACCTGCAAATAGACACACACCCTCCTACCATCCACCGCATGCTCTTCTCTCTCTCCTTCTCATACAATCTATCCTTAAATAGATGCGTTCCTCCATCCTCAGCCACCCCCCAGCTCTCCTATCAACACGCCCACCAAATCTGCCCTCAGACAGGTGCATAAACACAGAACCCATCTACACACCCCATCATCTATCTCCAGACCGGCTTAAACGAGCAAATCTACCCTTAGGAGTGTGAAACCCCCATCCTCATTTAAAGGCACAATATCTCTGTCTGTCTGTCTCTCTCTCTCACACACACAAACACACACACACACACACACACACACACACACACACAC